TGGTTGATTCTTATATGTGCCCTGACCCGGGATTGAACCCAACATTGTGGCCCATCGGGATGACTCTCTAATCAACTAACTACTAGTCCAGGGTGCATTGGCTGAATTTTTAAAAAGTTAATATATGTTTAAAGTACTTCCTTTAGCATTTTTTCCCCTTGAATAATGTTTGTCCCCAAAGGTTACTGTTACTGACCTATAGAGTAAAGATGATGTTCATCATTCTGGCATTTGAAGGGAGCTGGGTATATACTAGTAGAAATGATAGCTGATGCCCCAGAGAAGGTATTAAGTTTAATGTTAGCTTTAGGGTCTTTTGTTTTTCTGGGTTTTGTTTGTTTTTGTTAGACACATTTTATCAGGTTAAGGAAGTTTGCTGAAAGTTTGTTTTTGTTTATTTTTTGTTTTGATAATGGGCCAGGGGTTTGAAAGTTGTGTGTGTTTTTTTAAAAAATTATATTTATTTCAGAGAAGAAGGGAGAGGGAGAGAGAGATAGAAACATCAATGATAAGAGATAATCATTGATCAGCTGCCTCCTGCATGCCCCACACTGGGTGGGGATCTAGCCCACAACCCAGGCATATGCCCGGACTGGATATCAAACCATGACCTCCTGGTTCATAAGTTGACACTAAAACTACTGAGCCATGTTGGCTGGGCAAAATTTTTTTCATAAAAATCAGGAATGGATATAGAATTCTGCTAAACTGCTTTTTCTGCATCTATTGAGATAAAAGTGAAGAAATAGTTAATAGGGTGTATTACATTGATTGATTTTCAGATGTTAAACCAACATTGCATTCCTGGGATATGTTTATTTATCCATTTAGTCATATGTTTTATTCTTTATATTATGGCATTCCATATGCTAAAATTTTGTTAATATTTTTGTGCCTTGTGTTCATGAGTGATATTGGTCTAATTTTCTTTGCTGTAATATATTTATTTGATTTTGTTCTATCAAGATAATGCTGGCAGCATAGGATAAATTGAGAAGTGGTCTCTTTTCTGAAAGAGTTTGTATACTTGGTATTATGTTTTCCTTAACTTTTTAGTAGAACATGTCTGGACTTGGACTTTATTTTGGGGGGGAGGACTTTTTAAGTACAAATTCAGTTTGTTTAGTAGATATTAGAACTATGCAGGTAATCTACTTATTCTTAAGTGAACTTTCATAATTTGTATCCTTCAAGAAATTTACCCATTTTTATATAAGTTGTTGAATATATCAGCATAAAGTTTTTGTAATTCTTTATCCCGTTAATATCTGCAGACTCTGTAGTGATATCACCTTTCTTATTTCTGTATTGGGAATCTGTGTCTTTTATTTTTCCTGATCAGTTTGTCTAGAAGTTCATCAATTTTATTGATATTTTTCCAAAACCCAGCTTCAATGATTTTCTCTATTTTTTTTGTTTTCTATTAATTTCTGCTCTTATTTATTTATTAATCTTCACTGGATGAGTGAGGATATCCGCCCCCCCCCCCCCCCCCCCCACACACACTGATTTTAGAGAGAGTGGAAGGGAGGGGGAATGGGGAGGGGGGGAGAAAGAGAGAAAGAGAAGGAGAGAGAGAAACATCAATGTGACAGAGACACATCAATTGGTTGCTTCCCACAAGCGCCCTGACGGGGAGTGGGGGGAAAGGGGGGAGAGGGGGATTTGGACCTGCAACCCAGGTACATACCTTTGACCAGGAATCTAACCGAATACCCTCTGGTGCACAGGCTGACGCTATAACCACTGAGTACGCCAGCCAGCTCTGCTCTCATTTTATTATTTATTTTTATTATTTTGGGTTTAATTTGCTTTTTTTTTTTTGGTGGAAACTTACATCATTGATTTTAGACTTTATAACATAAGCAGTTATTGCTTAGAGAGCTGCATTGCAGCCCCATGCCATGCCCAGGTCTGGAAGCAGAAGAGAGGTGTGGCTCAGTGGTCACAGCACGGGGAAGACACTGGCCCGGGAGCCAGACACGCAGTTTTCCCGGCCCCTTCCTAGCTGTGTGGCTGGGGACTTAGGCTCTCTGAGCTTCAGGTTCTTTGCCAGCATCATGGAGCCAGATTTAATCTCTCCTGCTCTTGCAGATGAAGTAGCTGATGAACATGAAACCACTTGGCCAATGTGGAGGGCCTCTCCAGACCACTGGGAAGGGTGGTCGTCATGACATTTGTAATAATAACGGCGTCTTCTCTCGTTCCAGGTCTGGAAACAGCATGTACACACCCATCCCCCAGAGGTAGGCTGTGCACCCCATCCCCTTCCACCCCTCCCCTCCTTCACTTCCAAGGCCGCCTCTCCTCCCAGCACTCCTCCCCCCAGCATCCCTCCTCCCAGCACTCCTCCCCCCAGCATCCCTCCTCCCAGCACTCCTCCCCCCAGCATCCCTCCTCCCAGCACTCCTCCTCCCAGCATTCCTCCTCCCAGCATCCCTCCCCCCAGCATCCCTCCTCCCCACATCGCAGTCCCCAGGCCTGCCCCCTCTCTCTGCTCCAGGCCGCTCCTGCTCCTCTCGGGCTCTGGTCGCTGCCAACCCTCTCTCCTCCCACAGTAGTTCTCCATTCTCGACATCAGTGCAGGAGCCCGGCCTGTACGTATGGCGGGTGGAGAAGATGAAGCCGGTGCCCGTGGCCCCCGAGAACCAGGGCGTGTTCTTCTCGGGGGACTCCTACCTGGTGCTGTACAACGGCACGGAGGAGTTCTCCCACCTGCACCTGTGGATAGGTGAGGGCCTGCAGGGTAGGGGGGTTGGGCCCCCAGGCTGGCGAGGGTCTCACGGGCCTGACCCTGCCCCCTCCCACCGCCCCAGGCCAGCAGTCCTCGCGGGATGAGCAGGGAGCCTGCGCCATGCTGGCCGTGCACCTCAACACCCTGCTGGGGGAGCGGCCTGTGCAGCACCGCGAGGTGCAGGGCAACGAGTCCGACCTCTTCATGAGCTACTTCCCGAGGGGCCTCAAGTACCAGGTCAGCCTGCCCTGCGCTTCTCTCAGAGCCCAGCCCCTTCCGGCTGGTGCTCACCCTGCAGAAGGCCCGGTGTCCTCGGGGCTGGGGCTGCCCGTCTCCCGTGGGATGGGGTTTCGAGGGCTCCGGGCCCGCCAGCCCACTGAGGCTGGCCACCTGGGCTGCAGGAAGGTGGCGTGGAGTCGGCATTTCACAAGATCTCCGCAGAGGCCGCCCCAGAGGCCATCAGGAAGCTGTACCAGGTGAAGGGGAAGAAGAATATCCGCGCCACCGAGCGGGCGCTGAGCTGGGACAGCTTCAACACCGGGGACTGCTTCATCCTGGACCTGGGCCAGGTGGGCAGGCAGGCGGGACGGGCCGCTCTGTTGGCACCGTCCTTGGAAAGGGCAGGGGCCGGGAGACCAGGGAGAGGGAGCAGCTGAGCAGTAAGTCCGCTCCAAGTGGGGCCACTCCAGCCATTAGAAACATCTGTGTGTTCAGGACAGAAACCTCCCTCTGCCGCCTAGCCGAGCCTCGGCGCGGGAGCCGGCCCTCCTCCTCCTCCTGGAGCCACTGTGCCTCTGAGTTAGCTGCTGCCAGACCATTCATTCACTTCCTCGCTCATCCTTTCACTCAGGGAGTCTGGTGGCCGCGCTGAGCCAGCCCGAGGTCCACTGATTGCTTGCCCTGGGGAGGCAGCGGGCCTGGCCTGTCACTTGCAGTCATCTATGTCTATGGCAGGATGTGGTGAGAGAGAGAAAGGGAGAGGGAGAGGGAGAGGAACATCTGTGTGAGAAGATAACATCAATCGGCTGCCTCCTGCACGCCTCCTATCAGGGATCAAGCCCACAACCTGGGCATACGCCCTGATTGCGAATCGAACCAGCAACCTTTCGGCACACGGGACGATGTCCAACCAACTGAGCCACCCTGGCCAGGGCTGGACCACATCTTGTGGTGCCGAAGATTTTGGGCAGAAATGGAAGGAGGACTAGAAGCAACAGGATGGAGGCAGGAGGACCAGCTCGAGAGAGGGGATGAGGGCTGTGCCTGGCAGGGGTGCAGGTAGGATGCTCAGGGATGGCATTCACTCATTCATTCACTCATTCATTCATTCATTCATTCATTCATTTTGTGCCTAAATATGTGCCAGTCTCTGTCTGAGCACTGGGCATACAGCAATGAACAAAGCAAAGCAAAGCAAAGCAAAACGAAACGGAACACTCATGTCCTAATGAAGCTTACTGTCTAGTCAGGGGAGAGAGATTATACACAAGATAGAGATGTTGAAATGTCCGCTGATAAGTGATGTGGAGAGAAGTAAGGCAGGGGGGAGACGAGGGGCGGGGGGCTGGTGTTGTCATCACGGTGCTCAGAGAAGCCTTCTTTCCCGGCCTCCCCCTTCCCGCCAGAACATCTTCACCTGGTGCGGGGGGAAGTCCAACATCCTGGAGCGCAACAAGGCGCGGGACCTGGCCTTGGCCATCCGGGACAGCGAGCGGCAGGGCAAGGCCCAGGTGGAGATCGTCAGCGATGGGGAGGAGCCTGCCGAGATGATCCAGGTGGAGGGGCTGTGGGATGGGAGGCCTCTGCTTGGAAGCTGGGAGACGGCTGTGATCAGCTGGGGGCCAGAGGGCGGTCAGTGGAGGACTGGGCAGGGGCGTCTTGGCCGCTGCTCGTGGCTAGTTCATAGGGTGCCTCGGTGTGGTTCAGAGTAAAGTACCCCTGAGGGCGGATGGACCAGTGGCCTGGCAGGTGGGGTGGCCTGGACCCAGCCCTCATCTGTGCCGGGTGCCCTTGTGCAGGACCGTTTGCCCCACCCGAGGCCGTGGCCCTGGGCATAACGGGTTGGGAAGGTCTGGGACGGGTGCCAGGAATCCCTGGGAACCTAGTCGTCCCTGACTCCTGCAGGTCCTGGGCCCCAAGCCTGCTCTGAAGGAGGGCAACCCTGAGGAAGACCTCACAGCTGACCAGACGAATGCCCACGCTGCGGCTCTGTATAAGGTGGGCGTCCGGGGCCTGCCCTGGCACCGGGCAGGGGTGGGTGCAGCGGGGGCTGAGGGAGCGGAGGCACAGTGGGAAGTCTGGGCTGGGCTGGGAGGGAGAGGAGGATGGGAAGGTGGGTGTCGGGCCCTCCTGGGGAGATAGATGCTACTCCACTTCCGGCCATTCTTGGAGAAGGACATCTGACGATGTCGAGCTTTGCTTTTTGAATCTTTGCGTTTATTTGTCATGTGGAATCCACTTAGACATCTGACGATGTCGAGCTTTGCTTTTTGAATCTTTGGATTTGTCATGTGGAATCCACTTAATTTCCACATGGATTTGGGCCTCTGGGCTGCAGTGGTGAGGGTGATGGGAGGCCTGGGGCTGCCTGGATTTGCCCAGCAGAACCTCCTCCCTGTCCCGTCGGCTTCCCCGGCCTGGGCTGTGGGTGGGGCCGTGGTGCAGGGAGGCAGCCTCCTCCCTGGACCCTGGACGGAGGTTAGGACTGTGTGTTGGGGGAGGGTGATCCAGCACGGCTCTGTTAGCCTAAAAATAGCCTTTCAAGCTGAGAGGCAACAAGCATTTAAAAATATTTTTTAATATATTTTATTGATTTTTTACAGAGAGGAAGGGAGAGAGATAGAG